TTTTGAAGTTAACATTATATTATTAGAGCCGTTTTACACACAAGAGAATTACTCCGAAAATTATGGTCATAATTATGCTGAAAATTTGCATGGAAAAAATATTGAAGATTTTCTCTACAACCTGTATGACACAAGCAAACAAAATTTCGGAGTAATTCATATGATACGCCTGCGCATTAGAGTTATATTTTCAAATGGACATAACCTTAACGGGTATGACGTCCAATATAATCGGAAAGACAACAGACGTCGATAATTTAAATTTATTTTTGAAATCGAGATCTTGGTTAATATTATAAAACTTCTCAATGCTTGGACTATCGCATTCAGCGCCTGACGCCGCAAATTTCTGTTTTTGTAATTGGGTGACTTCACCTTGTACAGGTTTGGCCATTTTTGGTACTCCTCCAACAACATTGTAAATTCTTCCCGATTCCACGACATTATGAATAAACAATAACAATAAACGCTCCTTCGTACGACTCGAACAGGACCACTCCCACAAATGTTAAGTGAGGTTATGTTGTTGTCGTTGACATTTGATATTGACATGCACGGAAATAACCCTCTGCGCCGATTCTCGCGCATATAATATAGAACGGGTTTTATATTTTTACCATGAAAATTTTCACAAGAATTCTTTAACGTGTAATACGACAGCATACATTTTCGGCATAATTATGACCATAATTTTCAGAGTAATTTTCTTGTGTGTAAAACGGCTCTTATATTATTGAAAATGGATAGTGCAGATGGTAGTGTAAGTGCTGTTGAAGCTAATCAAGGAAGCCGAAAGAAGCGCATTACAGGGGGGAAACGGAAAGTAGAAAAGTTAGCCGGGTACGCAGCTCCTAAAAAGGCTCCAAGTTTTTCGGCCTGGCAAACACTACAGTAAAAGTTTTACGTGTGTAAGATTTAGGCCCAATGATGTAACGACATGTAAAGAAGAGTTCTACAAAATTCCAAATAAGCAAAAGCAAGATAATATAATTGCCAGCCTAATTCATACTTCTTCAGCTAAATGACATAGGCATACTCGTAGGCAAGAAGGAAAAATCTGGTTGTGATCGCAAGTACTCTATAAACTTCTCTTTGCCAACTCAGGCAGGCTTGAAGATTCCAGTGTGTTTAAAGTTCACTTTGGATTAGCCGTTGAAGAGAAAAGAGGATGTGACGCCACAAAAAATATAAGCTTTATGAAAAAACAAGGTGTAAGGGAGTTTATAAAAAAGCACAGACGTACAGAGTCACATTATGGCCGAAAAATCAAAGAGGTTACACCTTAGCAGTGAAATCAGTATTAGTAAACTAAGTAAAATGTACAATGATCAGTGTGAAGAGTTAAAAGTGACATGCAGTATGTTTAGGCGAATTTTCGTTTCGGAGTATAATATCGGTTTTGAATCCCCGGCAAGTGATACCTGCAGTACTTGCTGCTTACTTAACGAACATATTAGAAGTATTAACGCTCACTCCACTGAGAAAGCTCAGTTAATGGTTCAAAAGAGAAATCATTTCCCAAGAGCCAAGCCGTTCTATATATACAGTGGTTTGGCAAAAAATCACGTTAACATGTGCAGCCCCCTGGGCGGGGGTGACACCAACCCTAAAATCTTAAATGGAAAGGGGGGTCGAGTGATACCTTATTTTAAAGGTCTTTCAATTCCCTTTATAATGATGTAAAATTCATGAGCTTCAATTCAGTAGTGTTGAAGATTTATTGATTCAAAGCTTAAAGTAGACTTTAATAGGTACATCAGATTAGTTTGTACTACTTTCAGAAGAAACTTGATTAAAAGAATTTACTTAATAAGTGAACGCTTTTCTTCACTACGCCATGGTTTTTTTATCATTTTGTTGTTGAAAATAGCTATTGGAGCGTTTTTTTTTTGTGGCAAAAAATTTATTTTTTGAAGAAAGATAAGGAAATATCTCCTACTTATTTTAAATAGGAATTTAGTACATAGTTTGCGATTGATTTGACCAAACTTTGTTGCTAAAAAACTTGTAACGCTTTAGTACATAAATTAACCATGGTATATTCCACAGCAGAACGAGTTGAAATTATCGAAATATTTTTCGGAAATATTCAGTGCGCTAATAGAACAGCAGAAATATTTAATGAGCGATATGAGAACAGTAACGTGCATCGAAAATATGTTCTAGAACCTGTAGCTAAATATCGGGAAACTGGGTCAGTCGCCAATAAAAAACGCAACATTGAAAATCCCAAAAGGAACGAAGCAATAGAAGTGGGGGTTTTAGGGCAAGTTTATGTAGATCCTACGTTAAGTAGCCGCAAATTGGAGACTGTGTGTGGTGCTAGTCGACGTACTGTCCAACGGATTCTAAAGGCCCTTAGTTTTCATCCGTATAAAATTCACCTGGTACAAGAACTTAATGAAGACGATTTTGATCGGCGGTTACAATTTTGTGAAGATATGAATGAACGAATTATAGACGATGAACATTTTCTGTTCAACAGTTGCTTTACCGACGAATGTTTCTTTTTCTTAAATGGCGTAGTAAATCGTCATAACTTCCGATATTCTTCCGATTCTAATCCAGAATTCATCATGAGGTTCATACACAGCAGCCATAAAAATTAAATGTTACGGCTGGTATTTTTGACGATCATTCAGTTGGTCCTTTTTTCTTACCGGGAAATTTGACCGGTGAAATGTATTTGGAATTACTGGAAGGCGCCATAGATCCTGCATTAACAGCCATAGTTGAAAATCAGAATGATCGGCGATACATTGCGAATAGGTTGATGTTCCAACAGGATGGTGCCCCACCACATTACGCATTACGTGTTCGAAAATATTTAGATCAGACGTTTCCAGATCGATGGATTGGTAGAAGAGTGCCATTGAATGGTCCCCAAGATCGCCAGATTTATCACCTCTGGATTTCTTTGTGTGGGTTCATTTAGAAAAATAAATCTATGCTACTCAGCTAACATCGTTAGAAGACCTGCGACAAAGAATTGTGAATGAGTGCCTTCAAATTACTCCTCAAATATTGCAAAATGTGCGGCAACGTTTTGAGCAAAATCTTTATTATTGCATGGAGAGTCATGGTGGCCATTTTCAATATTTACTTGCCTAACGGGTCAGTCCATTCTTCTTTTTTAAATTACTTTGCTGCCAAATGTATTGATCTCCACTAATGATGATGTATTCGTTTTATTTAAGCTTTAAATCAATAAATCTTCAAAACTACTGAACTGAAGTACATTAATTTTATATCATTATAAAGGGAATTGAAAGACCTTTAAAATAAAGTATCACTCGACTCCCCTTTCCATTTATGATTTTGGGGGTGGTGTCACCCCCGCTTAGAGGGCTGCACGTGCTAACGTGATTTTTTGCCAAACTTGTGTCCCCCTCGAAAACGAAATCTGAGCGTTTTTCAAAAAAAAACTAAGCTGTCAGTAAATGCGTCTGTTTCGTTTTCGATGCGCCATCCTGTATATTCTATAAGCTTCTGTTTTGATCTTCAACAAATTCAACCTTTACTAAAAAGTCCCGTCCAAGAAGCATGCTATGCGAGGCAATTTGGATTCTACACTGTATCTATTACTGACCTTAAAACTAAAGATCCGGTGTTTTACACATGGAGAGAAGAGCAGGCTGGTAAAGGAAGTGTTGAAATATCTTCTGCTCTCTTTAGCCACCTAACTCAAATGGACTTTCAGGGATGTTCCATACTGTTTTTTGATGGTTGCGGTTCACAGAACAAGAATAACATTGTCTCAAGAACCCTTGTTCACTTTTTGGAAACATATACAATCACTATCCAAAAGATATTGTTGTTCTTTCCTGTTCGTGGTCGTTCATTTCTGCCTGCTGACCGCGTCTTTGGCCGGACAAAAAATCTTCTTCGGAAAAGTATTGGCTAAACAAGAAACAAGTACTACGAGGACTTACAATCAATTTATCAATTGAAAAGGATTGAAATACGTTACCAGACAGATGAAGAAATTGAAGAGTTGCAACGAAAAATAAAAAAGAATTATTTCCAAAAGATTGTACTAGTAAGAGGACTGAATAACTTCAAACATGAAGGAGATGAATGTTTTGTGTCTTTAAGAAAGAAAGGAAAGAGGGATCTAAAGAAAGTTAGACCTGAAAATAAATCGAAATAAATCGAAATAAATCGTAATAAATCGAAATAAATCGTAATAAATCGAAATAAATCGTAATAAATCGTAATAAATCGTAATAAATCGTAATAAATCGAAATAAATCGTAATAAATCGTAATAAATCGTAATAAATCGTAATAAATCGAAATAAATCGTAATAAATCGTAATAAATCGTAATAAATCGTAATAAATCGTAATAAATCGTAATAAATCGAAATAAATCGAAATAAATCGTAATAAATCGAAATAACACTGCATCATCCTTTGACGGAAGAAAAGAATACAGATGTCGACAAACCTTTGAAAAAAATGTTTCTGGGTGATTGGAAAACTTCTGACCCACTGCTCGAATGGTACGACCAGTTGATAAATCCTGAACCCATCCAGGACGAAGTTGGAAGCGAAGAATTACCATGTGCCTGCCTTGATGCTGAACTTTGCGAGCTGCACGTCTGAGAACTTTTTTATTTGGTAGCTGTTGGATGAATATTTTGAAGTTTCGCACATTGAGCGTCACAATCTTCTATACTGACTTTCAACAAAAAATTGATATGAAACTTTTATTTATTTGCGAGCTGGCTTAATTCCACAACACTTGTTACACGGAAAATGGATTATTTCCATTAAGTTCAAGCAAAATGAATTATTTCCATAATAAAAAATTATTTCCAAATTAGTGTTTTATTTCATATTTGAGCACCTCTTGATATCAGAGTAATTACAGCCGATTATTGTGACTATTTAAAAAACTACAGGTTTTTCCCTCATATTCAAAATTTATATTATTGTGACTTGAGCCTCTTTGCACGTATTCTCCTCACATTTATGTTTCATGATGATAACTCCGCAGGTAGCGGTGACGTTCGGTAACCGTGTCCTAGGAGTGATGTCCTGGCTCATGCCGCTATCTGTAACAATCTCCACATTCGGATCGGCGAACGGAACCCTGTTTGCTGCCGGAAGGTTGTGTTTTGCAGCCAGTAGGGAAGGCCATCTGTTGGACATCCTAAGCTATGTGCATGTCAGAAGATACACACCGGCACCTGGCTTGGTGTTCCATGTAAGTATTCAAATGGGACAGGGCCGTTTTAGAAAACAAAACTGGCGTCAGTCGTTCAAGCTGTCCAAGTCAAAATTGTATAATATTGAACAGGGTGGCCAATATACTTGTCCGCAAAGTTGGGGTTTTCCTTTTCAGAAACAACTACCCTTGAAATAACAAAGGTAATGTGTAGTAAAACGAGAGCGATCAAGTAAAAAAAAAATAAAGGAAAAGGTACTCACTCTCCAGTTGACGAGAAGGGCTAAGTACGTATCTGCCTGAAATCGAAAGTTATTCACCCCATTACGCGTGAAAGTAGATTCGTCTATCACCAATATGCACTTCAAAAAGTCCGGATTATTGTCATGTTGATGCAACAACCACTCACAAAACCGCACTCTTGCTGGAAAATCGTCAGGTTGAAGGGCTTGTACACGTTGGACGTTTGCCACACTTTAGTTTTTGATACTTGCACTTCTCTAGCCACGTCTCTAGCGCTTGTTGAGGGATTCTCGTCTACGCGATTGAGTAGTTCTTCCTCAACTTGCACCATTCGTGGTTGTCTAGGCCTCCCACTGTGCCCACCTCGAAATTCCTCCAAATGACCCGTATCCCTGACTCTCTGGACCAGGTACACAAATCTGCGGGGCCTTGGATGATGTCGTCTAGGGAAACGATCTGCATACACTCGCGACGATTCTGTAGCATTTTGAAGACATTCGCCATAAATTAACAACATATCAACGAGTTCATTATTGGTGTATGAGTGTGCCATTATTTATTTTTTTTGAAACGCAATCGATTATACGGGTTCGTTACCTCTATACGCGTGACCCTTTACCGTCGGTTGAAGGTTGCATACTGACCTGACACACTGACCCCGACCCCCGACCCAGTTCTGTCGTCGGGTTCAGCTAGTAGCCGGTACCAGTCTGGGATATCGCGGCGGGTCGCGGCTACAGGACGGTATTCAGATATTTTTGATGTTGCACAGACCTTTATCTCGGTTCCCTTAAGACATTGGTGTATATGGTACTAAGAAAAATTGCTTATGTTTTCATGTCTACACGTCGTGTAAAGGAAAACCCCAACTTTGCAGACACCCTGTATAACTGACTGACTTAAATGGCGCGCCACTTTTGATACACACATTTCAGTAGGTGGCTCCGTAGTTGTTTAAACCACATGTGTCCAATTCATCATGGAGATGATGACTTAAGTAATGAGTCGATTGTTGCACCGACAAGATTTCGGTCGAAATAATGTGCCCAGTGTCAACACCATTCGTCAGTTGGTGCGGAAATTTGAACAAACAGGTGAAGTTAAAGACTTGCCAAGGTCGGGCCGTGTTCGAGCTGTTCGTACTTCGGAAAATGTCGAGACAGTTCGTGAAAGTCTAGTGGAGCGCCCTGAGGCGTGTACCAGACATCGTCTCAAGAACTGTGTACTTATAGAGGAATTGGAAAAACCGTAAAATTTACATTTAGCAAGTAGCACACGATGATTTAGACTATCGAATGCCATACTGAAATCAAGAAGTGCTAGTGTCGTTATCATATCCTGATCCCACGTTATAACAATGTTGTCTGTCAACTCCAACGATGCACCTGCAGTATTGTAACCCTTTCGGAAACCACACTGTATTGATGGTAATATTTAGTATATTAAATAACACATTTGCGTTGTCGATCAAAGGTTGGAACATTAATTCGTAAAGCTTCAACCTTCTATCAAAATCGTCATCATTAACACGTTAACTGTCCAAGCATATTCTCTGGATTCCACCAACACGTCCATTATGCCACATACATAGTTACAAAGTGTTTTCAACTATGTTTTATAGACAAAATCTCATCACTCTCTCCCCTCCATCTTCCATGATCACATATGATTCATGAACGTATTGGTTAGAATAATATATGTCTCACGTCCATGAATCATATGTGAACATAAGTCCGATGATACCAGAGCAAGTGATTTGTGCATAGACATATTGCCGCTAGACTAGGCAGGGTATTGGCCGCTCTGTGTATAAAAGTGAAATGCGGGAGATCACTCTGGGTGGTATAGCTATCTTTGTTTGACACACGCTCGCGCAAGCGCCACTGTAGAGCTTTATGAGAGCTCTGCGTTTTATCTATTTTGCCAGGATACCTAATCTAGTCGTATTTTGTCTATGAAGATTTGACGCTTAGAGACTTTGGGAATGGCATTCTTCGATTGGGGTATGAGTGCGGCATGATTAGCAGTTTGTTTACTTTGAATTTAAACCCAGTTAGTGCTAATAACAGGACTATTTTGGTAAGTTCAGTTGAATTTATTTCCTTCTACAAACATTTGGAATTTGATTGTATGGAGGTAGAACTTCGTACGGCGCAATTTCAATCCATTCTTACCTATTTTTAGTTTATGGTGAGTTATTTCAGAAAGTCTTTTTATATTTAGTTTTGAGTATGTACACTTCACATGTGCTGCAAAATAAGTTAGAAAATGTCATAGAAATTCTACCTCAGCCGTGTGGTTCACGAGGCATGCAATGATTTTTTTTTTCAGCAATGGCTTCCAGCAGACCATTGACAGATAGAGAACTCCAGGAGGAAATTGATAATATGAGTGACATGAATGATTCTGATTTAGATAGTGACGACAGTATAGCAGATGAAACGTTCACCTGCAATTCTGGATCAGAAAGTGATGACAGTAGCGATAGTAATCTTCTCCAGTGGCGTCCGATGAAGATATAGCCAATAATATTCCAAATCCCAATAATCTCGACACTATTCCGTGGTCAAGTACAGTCAAGATGTTGCAGCGACATCAGTTTACTGGAAAATCAGGGCTTCTGAAAAACATTATACGCTTTGATGGTTCTGATGGTAATGTGCGCCCTGTGGACATATTTCTTTCTTTTATAAATAATGAAGTTCTGGAGCTAATGGTGCAAGAAACTAACAGATATGCTCAACAATTTTTGAACAATAGGCAACTGCGAAGATCAAGTAGACTTCGGAGATGGAAAAATACTGATATCTCCGAAATGAAAAGGTTTTTAGGGCTCATCATGCTTACGGGAATAATAAACTTTCCGCGTATAGAATATTATTGGAAAAAAAGCCAAGTATATTTCCACCCACTTCTTCACAAAATAAATATGTCTTATAACAGATTTGCCCTACTACTAAAGTGTTGGCATTTTGTTGACAATAATCTTCACAGGGATAATGAACCACGTACATACAAGGTTCAGCCTTTGATAGATATGGTGCTTTCAAACATAAGGCAAACATATTGTGCTGGTGAAATTGTAGTTATCGACGAAACTATGATTCCTTTCAGAGGAAGGTTAAAATTTAGACAATACAAACCCTCAAAATCTAGCAAATATGGTGTAAAGATCTATAAATTATGCACCACAAAGGGATTTACGTATTCCTTTTCTATTTATTGTGGAGATGATCCCAAAATTCCTGAGTTAGACAAGCCTGGATCTGTTGTAGTAAATTTAGCTGAAGGCTTATTGAATGAAGGGCGGCTAATCATAACTGATAATTTTTACACCAGTATTCCTCTAGCTAAATATTTGCTAGGTCGTTCCACAGATCTTTGTGGGACTCTACGGAAAAATCGGAAGGGGGTTCCAAAAGAAGTTGTTAAGACCAATTTGAAAAAAGGGGACATAATCGCTAGACAAAGAGACAACATAACAGTTTTGAAGTGGCATGATAAGCGTGATGTTTGCATGTTATCAACTTGCCATGGGAATGATATTGCAGATACAGGGAGAAAAAATAAAGAAGGGGTTTCTGTAACCAAGCCCAAAGTCATTTTAGATTACAACTCAGGAAAGCAGGGAATTGATGTATCGGATCAACTAAGTAGCTACTACTCACCAGTTCGTAAGTCCGTGATTTGGTACAAAAAGGTGGCAATTGAGTTAATATTTGGCACCGTTGTAACTAATAGTTGGTTATTATACAACGAAATATCTACGGAAAAAAAGGCTCTATTGCTTTTTACAGAAGAAATAATTGAAGATCTTCTTGAAGTAGCTAAAACAAGAACCCAGATAGAACCATCCACTGGTGAGCACTTCATGTCAAAAATACCAAGGACGACGGTAAAATTATAAGAAAAAGATGCCATGAATGCTACAGAAAAAAGCAAAGCGAACATGGAACCCAGTTTGCTACCAAAAAAACTAAGCAAGTAGATACTTACTTAATAAAAACCAGAAATGAACTAATCATTTTTATGTTGTATTTTCAGAATCATGTTCCTTTGTTTTGTAAGCTAAACCTCTAATAAAGTTGTAAATAAAAGACTTTTGGAATCATTTTTTCGAACATAAAAAATTCGTCTTCGAACCATATATGATGCGCCCTGGAAAAAAAAATTTCAAACTCAATATCTTCTTAATACGTCCATGCTATAAACAGCTGCTTAAATATAACGTCCAATTTTTAACTTATCATAAGGCAAAGCAAGTACAATGCATCATATATGATTCAAGGGCGTGTAGACAAACACGTCTAATGAATCACATATGATTCATGGACAGTTAACGTGTTAAGCCCATGGAAAACATTTGACTTCTACGTGTGAAATTAATTGTCTTTCAAAATTCTTTGTACTGTTGAGAGTGTAAATCCTGAAGCAGTAGCGAATCCACGAGTGCTTTTGCTCTTGTCAAATGCTATGTGTCTGCTATTTCTGCGGCTTCATTTCTAACTGGTCGACTTTCTCGATGACGATTACGGCGAATATTAGACACAAATACAACTTTTTCAAACTTCCTTACCAGTTTAGCCACATACTTACCGTTAATATTTTTGTCTGTATGTAAGGCATTAGACAACCGGGCTGTAACCCTTGCAAAGCTCCCATTTTGATAATACAGTTTTGTAATTTTTAGCCTTTCTTGAATTGAATGTCATTGTTCTATATTTATGACATCTAAAGGTAGGTTACTTAACACTTTGAAATGAAAAACAAAGTTTTTCTAGGACATACGATGACACTGATGGTAAATGTTCTTGCCTGTATCCGTCATTATTATTTTTTGATGTCCATTCCATTATAATCAGTATTAAGTTGGTCGAATTTTATTATAAACTCAAAAGGCTTCACAACGATTGAAGATAGATATAAACTTTATTACACAAAACTATACGGAAAATTAAAAAAAATAGAAAAAAATGAGGTATCCATTTAAAATATAAAGTGTAACGCAACATCTCATTTTTGAATCACACTGTATTGTACGGTTCTAGATGAAAAGACGTCAACCTGACGTGTCCGAGCGTTTTTGCCAAAATATACTAGGAAAGTCACAAATGGGGGACGACCTTTTTTTAGTTGGGCCACCCTGTATATGGTGCAACTCAGATGTATATTTCCGCTTACATGTAGAATATATAAAAAATGTGGTTTTAATAATCGCTAGTGATTTCTAGAAAAATAAGCGTTGATGCTATGGTTTCTGATTTTAGTCCATAATAGCTGGAGCCATGGTGATGTACGGTACCATTGATTCTTTGATAGACTTCTTCAGTTTCACTGCATGGATATTCTACGGGGGAGCAATGGTAGCTCTGATTATGATGCGGTATACGAAACCAAACTACCCTAGGCCCTACAAGGTAACATGTTTATAAGATAAGCAGGAATTTTTTATTCGAACATCACACTGTTCTGCCTGTATATTTCAATGTAAATATAAAGGTCAAGACTTCAGATCGTAGCAGCTTTTCATTTTCAATTGACGAAAATACAACAAGAGAAAATAAAATCTAACTTTGGGCTGATTATGTATGTACCGAAGAAAGAGACTAAACCAAAACAGTGATCATCGCGTGATCATTGCGTGATTAGCACACTGATATATTTCAAGAGTGAGGGAGCATAACTGTTGTTGGGCAGAATAGGTCGAGCCCTTACACAGAACCAATGGCAAATCGGATGGTGGCGTGGGAATTTTTTAGTTTGATTTTATTCAAAAATGGCACAATTTATCCATATTCAATAAGAGTAGGTATAGTCAACGCCAAACAAAGTGGCGTGCACGTCATCACGATAAAAATTCCCCGACCTAATGCCTAGGTGTCTATCACAAACAATTGCTCTATTGCAGTTTCATATTAATGTGATATATACATTGTAAAATGGTCATTACTCTCTTATTATGGTTAATAGTCATATAAACATTGTTATTAAAATATCACATAAGTTGCTTTCTGATAAATTTAGACGCATTATGCGAAATAAAATGTTTTGCAAACGCTCCAATCACTTATCGACATGTAAACGCACTAAACCGATTTCGCAGCGTTGACACATTGTCACCTTGAAACTTATTTAAACTGGGAACTGACATTTGTATTAATTTTGACACTGAATCAATTTGTGGCATTTCAAATCTTTATAAATCCTTTGGCCCCGCATACTGTAAATCAACAACTGTTTGTTTCAAAACAAAATTATTCATTTTACGAGTAGATAAAGGCAATTTTGGTATATAAAGATGCCCAAACAGTTAAATAGTCGGTGTAAGGAACTCGTGGCCTCGTTAATGCACTACTTTGAGCAAGAAAGGGACAACAACGGGCCTTTGTTGCCTTTAAATGCTGTTCAAGAGGTAGGTTACTAATAATTATATGTAATGTATATTAATAATAGTGAAATTTTATTTCATTTTTTGTAGCGTGTTGCTGCTGCTTTAAAAATTAGTTTAAGGACAGTTAGTCGTATTTCCGAGGGTGTGAAAAGTGATGCAAATTTAGAATCGCCCAAGAAAAAGCGGAGTTATATTAAACGTGTAACCAACACAGCGACATTGGATACAAGTGCCATTCGAGAAGTGATCTATAATATGTATCACAAAAGTAAGATCTTATTATAATAACTTATCAGAAATTTGCATTAATTTGTTAACTAAATTATAATGTCATATTACACATGGTTTCAGAAGAACAAGTTACGATACAAACTTTATGGTCTCGATTAAGAGATAGGGCATTATTTGATGGTAGTGCCACGTCTTTAAGGCGGTTGCTTAGAGATCTTGGATTTAAGTGGCTTAAGGACAATCCGCGACGAGGGCTCATGGAACTACCAAGTATAGCTTTGAAAAGGGTGGAATTTCTAAGGCAATACAATCAAGCCAAGGTTGAGGCCTTATACCAGTTTGTCTTCCTCGATGAAACTTGGATATTTCAAAATGGGACCATAGGTCGCTCTTGGCAAAATGGAAACCAAAAAAGCGTGAAAGCTATTAAAACAGATGATGGTAAAAGGTATGTACTTTTACACAATTTGCACTATAAAATTTAAAACTAATATATTTTAGATACATTATATTACATGCTGGAAATGAAAATGAGTTTATTGAGGGTAATGAAGCGATATTTTCTTCGAAAACAAAATTGGGCGATTACCATGGAGAGATGAACCAGGACAATTTTTTTAAATGGTTTCAACATCAGTTATTAGAAAAATTGGAGAGTCCATCTATGATTATACTGGATAACGCCCCTTATCACAGCATGATATTGAACAAAGTGCCCAACAATGCATGGACAAAAAAAAATATCCAAGACTGGTTGACAAATCAAAACATACCATTTTTAAACACAATGTTTAAAACAGAGCTATTGAGTATTGTTGCTCGGTACATAATGCTTCTTAATTATATATATTTTGGTCGACAGTTTATATTTCTTTTGTTTATTCCTATTCTTAAAATAACTGCTTTTTTAGAAACAAACCACCTAAAATATACGTGATTGATGAATTGGCGGAACAACATGGGCACAAAGTTCTTCGTCTGCCTCCTTACCATTGTATATTTAACCCTATTGAGTTAATTTGGGGCATAGCAAAAGGTTACTATAACAGACATATTGGTAGAGATGGTAACAGTGAAAAAGACTGTTTGGATATGTGGAACGAGGCTCTACAAACGGTTACCCCAGACATGTGGAAAAATAGTGTTCGACATACTGAGCAAGAAATTTTTAAATGGTATGAAAGAGAACGAATTTTTGATCGACCAGACATCGAACCTTTAATAATCAACTTTGAGAGTGATGAAGATTCAGATTCAGACAGCGCTGAAGAAAGAAACTCCGACTAACTTTATTGTACAGAAAAAGCTTACACCAGTAGCTTACCTAATTTTAGAATGCATTTTTCTGTATGAATTCTGTAAAATAAATACCATGCATAAAATTTGGAGGACCCCATTTGGATTTTTATTCAGTACCTTTAAGCTATCAATTAAATATGGTAGTTTCATAGTGTCATCTGATCAATAATTGTCATACTTAATGATTATGCAAGTACAGATCTATAATTTTATTATACTATTATTTTTGTTCTCATTTGAGGTTAATATTGCTTATAAACCTATATATGTAAATAATAAATTTTATTATTTTACAAAAAGTTTGGCAACAATGTAAATTTTTCAACACACCCACCTTGATGACGTGCACGCCACTTTGTTTGGCGTTGACTATATATACCGGTATTAATGTGTGCTTATTAGATTAGTCAGTTTAGTTTCGTAGAACTCATACGGATACAGCTGATGAATTTGTTGATATTAGCTGCACACCGCCTAAAAAAAGAGCTAACAGACATCATTTTAGCGTTAGCGAAAACCACATGATTCTCAACATTTATAAACACGAAATGAAAGGAAAGAGTGACTCAGGTGTTCAGGACATTGTTTGCAAAGTAGCAAGTGTTTCGGGCATTAGTCGTGCAAGTGTAAACCGAATTGTTCGGGAGTACAGATCTAACCATTCGCTGGTCGACCCAAAAAAGTATTCGCCAAGAAAAAAAATCAACGGTGCCCTAGAAGACTTCGGCAAAACCGGCATAACGAGAATAAGATATAATGACTTACCAAGTTTCAAGAGATCTACCTTCCATAAATTATTAGAAGAACTATCTAAGACAAATGAGAACATTTCGTGCAGAAGATAGGAAAATATACTACCTAGATAAAATACCTACATGTTTTTTAATACATGTAATTTGAGAAATTTCAACTAAAATTGTATTTTGTTTTTGTGTTTGTACATGCTTAAACTATATCGAGTAATCATTTTGTTGGGTTTTTAATGTTGCTTTCAATGGGAGCGGTTTGTAAGTGTTAAAAATTTTCAGGAAAAGGGAAGCGATTGATAATTTGCCACAGCGGTAATGAAGATGGATTTGTGTCCGATGCTTTATGGGCATTTGAATCCAAAAAAACGGGAGACTACCATGAAGAAATGGAGGAAGCCTCGTTCGAAAATTGGTTCTCAAATACTTTACCGAAGCTTGAAGATAATTGGGTTATAGTATTAGATAATGCTTCATACCACACGAGAAAATTAGAAAAAATTCTAACAACGTCAACAAAAAAATTAAAAATTCAAGGATGGCTCAAAAATAAAAATATTGGTTAAGACAAAATTGTTACAAATTGTCAAGGCACATAAAAATAAATATAACCTGAACATAATTGATGAAATGGCCAAAAAACAAAATAGAACTGTTTTACTCCTTACCATTGTGAGCTTAATCCGATTGAGCTCATTTGAGCAGACATAAAAAAATATGCTGCAGCAGAAAATTAAACTTTTAATTTACTCAACTTAAAAATATTTTTCATGATGCTATACAAAGAATAACACCGAGTAATTGGGAAAAATGTATTCAGCATGTACAAGAAAGGGTCGATCCTAAAATGTGGGAATTAGACGGTATCATTGATACGCACGTTGTTCCTTTAATCATATATTTTGATGACAGTGGGAGTTCCACGGCCTTAGATCTAGAATGATTTTTATTTTCAAATATATGTATTTCCGGTTTCAGAGGTAAAATGTTTGTGCAATAAATTATTGTATACTATTTAGTATATATTATGTATTTAAATCCTTTTTTTAACCCCATCTATCTATTCATTGTTTAGTTTAATAGTCATATTGACTGTTTGCACACTGACGTACCTGTTCAAGAGGTGGTAAGGTGCATGCATATGCAATTTTTTTAATGTGTCAAGACATTTTTTAAAAGCCTGCTTTAAAAATGCACCTTACGACACATTTCGAGTATAATTTCTTGATAAAACACCTCTACTGAAAACAATAATAGACAGTTGTTTTTTTGGCATGACAGTTAAATTAAAAAGAAGTATATTAATTCCAAGCTTTACGTTTGGAAGGTATACACGCCTGCAATAATTTTGCATACTGTTTGATCGAGTCGTAAAACCACAAATAATTTATTCTTAGTACGGCCCTGTAACGTGCTCCACGTTCTGAAGCGCGATCACGTCCAATATACGTGAATATGTCTAGGTTCAGTCTCTTTCTTCGATGGATACATAATGGGTTTGAATTATTTGACTTCTTCTCTTCATTCTGATAGCGGTACAGATAAAAGAAAGCAATTGATGTTTTATTTCACTCTTCATGATTTGCGTGTGGCTGTAAAGCTTTGTTTGTTACATAAAAATTGAAGTTCATGGGGGACATCGATAAGCATGAATGACATTTAAGTGCAATTTTTGATGGTCCGTTTCATTTGTAGGTGCCGATTATCATTCCTTACTTGGTTTTAGTGATCTCTATATACCTGATAATAGGTCCGATAGTGGATAAGCCTACGATTGAGTACCTGTATGCCTCGTTCTTTATTTTGGGAGGAATGGTATTCTACGTTCCATTTGTGCATTATAAACTACGAATACCATACATGGGTAAGTATCCGGAGAATTTTTTATTTTACTCTATAATGTTGATTGACTATATGGGTTCAAAGGCAAAAACGCTTGATAGAAGACTTCAAACGTTGCAAAAGTAATACCAATAAATGAACCAGGATATCTTGACACATTGGGGTAAACGTTCATGAGATATCAGTAACTGCGTGCACTAGCAGGTGCACTCGGCAAAACATTTCATTCACAATAGGTGTTCAAATAGGTTGCCATTATTTTCCAGACATAAATATGATCTTCTACACCAGGCTTTCCCAACTCTTTTTTCGTTGTAGGCTCCCCGGACTATAAATTATATTTTCATGCCCCCCTGTACTCTTTCAATAAATACAAAAGAACGCACATTATATAGGTACAAAGACTTTTATTTTAATTCTAATAAAAAACCTTTAAAAGTTTAAATAAACTAATAAATGTTTTTTATCGAAAAACTTGAATAAAATAAGAGTAAGTGCTAATGAGACACTTGAGATTGCATGTTCTGTACCAGTTGGTAGATTCTAGGTTCTGTTTTTGTCAGAACTATCATCAGGTCGGTATCGACATTAAGACGATTTCGCTGTTTAGTTTTAATTAAAACTAGAACAGAAAAGCTTGTCTCGTATAAGTAAGTTGATGAAAAAGGAACTAGTATTCGTAAAGCAAGAGAGGCAAGTGTCGAATTAACAGGCAATCGTTGATCAAAAATTTCTCCAATGTTGAAAGATACAAGTCATTTTTCATGGATGAATCAGCCTTCATTTCTAGAAATTCTTCCTGAACTTCTTCTGATAATTGTGAGACATCAACAACAAATGGATTTCTTGTCATGTGCCATATTGGTGACTCTGAATTGATGTCTCGATAGTATCGGCGAAATTCGTCTTCCGGCGCTTGCAAATGAATTTTTATGTCAGCTTTTAAATTTGCGTCCATCCGTGTTATTTTTAATTGCTTCAAACAGCCGAGAAAAAAATAACATATTCAGAAGACACTTTTTGATTCCAAAGTTGAAGCTTTTTTAAACAAAATTTGATATTGAATTAAATATATGTTCAGACCTGCTGTCAAAGATTGGGAGTACAACATCTCTTCTTGAATGATATCTCCGCCGAGGTAACGAACATAACCTATTAACTCTGCATAATTAACGATGTCGGTGGATTCATCGTTTTACTTTGTTGATTATTTGTGTCTTTGTCTACTGAAATGTCATCGATTCTACGCTTGTGTTATTTTAAAGGGAAATAGACTTCATTTCTTGCTCTGCATCTTCTAAAGTTATCTGAGTGGCTTAAAAGCCGGCATCAAAAATATTGATTTCGATTAGAAAAAAAAAAACGAATTTAGCATTGCAATGACCTTGAAGGTGAAGTTCAAGCTCAAATCCCAGATGAATCGTCAAAGACCTCACCTTGATAGTGATTTTCATCACTAATCCTGTGAGATTTATAGAGGTTTTCCTAGCAGCACACATTTGAACTTTAGTAGTCATCCTGACCTTTGACTTTGATTGTGACTGACCGTAAACTTTCCTGTTCCTTTGATTGCCGGCATCAAAAATAATGGTTTCTATTTGAAAAAATGACGATGACCGTAAATTGCTCTTGAAGGTGTCAAATTCAAGGTCAACGCTGAAAGTTAGTGAAGACCTGATCTTAACCTTTTCCAAAAATACCCAAGAAAATGCAGAGCAGTTCCGGGACTTTTGTGACACGCTGTATAGGACTCCAAACGTACATAGTGTGCCGCAGAAAAATCACAACAGTATCTCCAACATGTAGAAACTATTTTTCTCTACAAAAAAAAAGATGTAGAAGTAGTAGTGGTGGTGGTGGTGGTAGACCACATTTTACTCACTTTGCCGACTTCTTAGTAAGAAAACGTGAAAAGTTCTTATGGTCCGTCTATTCCTGCAGTTGGAAACACCACTACTACATCTACTGGTAACTGATATAATAAACTAGCTCCGTCGAGATTTACATATTGTTAATATTGCTCCCACGCGCTTCGTACAGACAACACACAACACAACATCAATGGCAAGGAATTAACTTAAAGAATTTAATTCCCTACAAAAAAGTGTGTTTTAGTTTTTCTTATAGGATCAATGGTTTTCGAGATTTTCGATCAAACGCGTTTATGAAAATAGCGGCAAATGATCCAATCAATTTGAGCTTATCATTAGGAAGCAATAATACCATCATACCTTAAAAAAATACTATTGCAAATATTATAGGAACCTATTTCCTGACCTGATATTTGAATGGAGCGCCAGATCACTGTAAAAACCTACTAAATGACATAGAAAATGCAACACGGACTAGGAATGCTGTAATTTTGAGCATACTTTAAGTTTTCGGTTTACTGATAAATAGAAAGTGATTAAAATTTTAACTGGAAATTTCGCAAAATAGCTGAGATATCCCACCTTGCGAACTCTTGGCATGATAATGCAATGAAACAAATGGAACCAACACTAAAAAATCACTGAATATTAAATAAACGTGATCATATTGTTCGGATCTCAATACGACAAAAAAGCCTTTACAAATAAAGTAATGCTCGGAATACCTTCAACATTTTATCAGCGTATACTTCCATCATAGCAAATATGTTTAAAAATTTTTATCAAAAGTCAATAAATAATTCTGGGTGTTGTGGTGACTTAATGTTGTTTCGTCTTTTTTTCAGATGGGGTCACCGTATTTCTGCAAATGCTATTTGAGGTAGCACCAACAACATCGATGTTTGATTGAAATAATAATATAGACATAACTATAAAATGCTCAAGATATGATAGATATAATTTATCCTCTACTGAAATCATGGTTACAGGAATTACATTTTGGTACTCCATAACATCTTATTGAAGCAAATAAAATCATGTAGAATAACGACACCTGTCAATTCTGTAGCGCTCAAAAAGGTTTAATGAAGGCAGGCAATATAAGAACCAATGATGAAGCAACGACTTCCCAAAATAAACTTGGTCGGTAAGGATTTGTTGAGAAAACCTGAGTTGTAATATGTTGAGGAGTACTGCATTATTAGGTAAAATAATAAAAAACTAATAAATTGCACGAATCATTCCAACATTGTTGGACAAACTGTGGGGTGCAACACGGCTGTCCTAATGATATATACTTTTACTAGAAAGTGTTACTTTTAAGGAAATAAAGTTGTATATTTTTATAAATTATAGAGGCTTAGTTTGTATGGTACTGACGGTGATCGAACAACAGCTAGCTTACCTTATATAGTGGTTGTGACATCACCTTTTTGTGAAAATGTGTTCTAGAAGATACGCTATTTGCTGCAGGGTATTCGTACAACAACATACTCGTACAACAAATAAGGTTGATAAAATTTGGCCGTTTTTCGCCCATCACATTCTTGGAGATGATCGTTAAAAGTTTGGATTTAGGCTATTTTATCAAGTTTACGTATATTCATTTACTTTTGCAATAAAATGACAAAAAAATATGAAACATCTTAAACTCAGCATGTATATTGAATTTTAGCCATTTTAAAGTTTTATTTTGAAAAATTGCTTAACAGCTTTGGGCGTCACAATGTACAGGAGTATTATTGATGGCTAAAAATACAGGATATGATTCTTTAGCTTATTTTTGCAGGAAAAGTTTATATGAACATATGTCCTAAACCCCTTAACGTTTGTTAACATTTTAAGAAAAAAAATCGTGTTATTATAAGTTTAATACTGTTCTAGATATCTTCTTGAAATTTGACACGCACCTACTAAGCGCCAATAGGAATTTTTTTAAGTAGAATATTTTGCAACAAGTTTTGACAATTTCTGTGGATCAAAGAAACTAATACTATTTAATTGAATTATCACAAGAATTGTTGAAAATGTCCTCATTCACTTAGAATACCGGCTTCAATTCACTTTCTCATGGTTTGTCGAACCCTTTCCAAAATCCCAGAAGTATTTCTTATGGTTTGTCAAGAAAGTAAAATTTTCTGCCTTAGTTCCTCTACAATTTGAACCAGTGTAGTATAAAGTCTTGACTTGCCCCTACAAAATAATTAAATAGTCTAAACTGTTTAAATCAGGACACCAGGGAGGCAAAGATTGAGTTCCCCTATCCAGCGATTCGGAAACGCTTAATTTTGTAATTCCCTACCATGAATGCTGAAATTTGAAGGAACACCATCATGCATGTACATCTTTTCTTCTCTTAATAATAGAGGTGCGTCCTCGAGCAAAATTCGCAAATCGTTTTCAATAAAGTGACGATTGGATAGTTTATAAAGTCGTCCTGGAAGGAAGAACGGTCCTATGAGGAAACCTTCAACTATTCCAGCTTGATATATAATCAAGTTAACAAGTCATTTTGGGTTTACTAAGGATGGATCAACTGTGGAGAATTTGGTGTCTTATAAAGCTGATCTGTTGGAGGCCTTGGAAAGGGGTCCACGTGGATGTAATCTACACAGCCTTTTCCAAGGCTTTCGACAGAGTGAACTTCCGACATTCTATTGACAAAGTTGTCAGCTACCTTAAGCTGGTTAGAGAGCTTGCTTTAAGGAAGGACTCAATCTCTAAAAATCAGTGGGTATCTGTCTTCGAACTTCAAGGTTACATCAGCGGTTCCTCAGGGATCCCATTGTGCTACTCTCCTATTCATTTTGTTTGCGAATGACATACCTGATGTTCTTATTCATTATAAAGGAACTATGTTAGCTGATGACCTGAACATTTCCAGAACAATTATTACGGAGAAAGACGACATAGTAGACACAGTTTACTTGTATCTGAACTCTGATAAATGCTTTTTCACAAGTTTCTTCAAAAGTAGGAGTAGAATTTCAACTGGCTATAAATTAAATAATGATGCCTTATCTTATTAGGCTACCGCTAGGGATCTTGGAGTGCTTTTTGATGAAAGGCTTAACTTTTCAGACCATGTTATCAAAGTTAGCATAAAGGGCGTACAGATGCTGGGCTTTATTTGGAGAAATTGCAAGTGTTTTACAATGAACAGCTTCGAAATTTTATACTGCTCCTTGGTAAGATCAAATCTAGAATATGCCACAGTAGTATGGTCCCCTCAGTACCAGAGTTATAAATATGACAGAGAGCGTGTCCTGTATAAATTTTTACGTCTTCTTTAAAGATGAACTTAAACATGACGGAATATCATTGAGCTGACATGTTAGAACATTTGCGTTTACCTACATTGGGACATACAGGCGCTTGGTCTTTGATGGTTGTTTAGCTTTCAAAATTTTATTGGGGCTTATCGATTTTGAAATTTTGTTAAGTTTAATAGAACATTGCGTCAGCACTCTCCACTCGATAGAGCGCTTCGTGTTATCAATTTGGCTCAGTTTGATATTGACATCGTTACCTGTACACCCTCACGCTCTTTTAATTTTTTATTTTTATAATTATGTCGTGTGAGCTTGCATGTTGTAAATGTTATTCCCATTTTGTAATTTTATTTTGTAAAAATGGGGTTACCCGTAAATTTAGTAAATAAAATAAAAAAATAATCAATTAAATTACAACCTGTAGGGTCTTAATGATATGCTGTAATTACAAGGAAGGATTCCTGAACCAAATTCAAGTAGAAAAGTTCATACAACATATGTACTATGAAAGGTCTGATTTCCAAGATAAAGGGAATCGAAGATTAAAAAAATAGTTTTTGACAGGAAAAATAATAGCAAACTGTCATGGAAGGTCATAGCAACACAACAACGTACCCTAACAACGATCAAAGTTGATTTGAATAATTTTTCGACACGTACCTAATGGTTTGCTTTTTAATGTTTTCCCTCGGAAACGAAGTGAGATACCGAAAGACAAAAAGTAGTATGATTCACTGCTCAGTCAGATATAGGCATATTTTTAAAGTCAGTGGCGTACATTTTTCGTCAATGCCCCTTAATATCTTCTTACAATGAACAATACTGACAAAATTCAACATAACCAACACAAGCATGTTTCAGATATTAACAAAAGACCAACTTTGACACAATGTATTGTGGAAACCAGACTTTCTAGCGCACATGTTTATATGAACTTTGGTTTAGAAATACGCCCGTATAATCACGGCCTATTGAAATATTGAAAAAAATAGTGTTACTAATTGCCCGATTTGTGCAAAACGGCCGACATTTATCCGCCCCCATTACAATCAAGGACGTACCTGTAAGTAGCATAACGCCTCCCCCAGGTTGGTATATCTACAGACAAAGCCAAATGATAAATGAATATACTATTTTTTCTGATGGTGCATTTTCGAAATGATTATATACATTTATAGGAAAAGTCTGAATATTTTAGATGTATCTTCTCTTCCTTGTAACCATGATATATTTTCAAAGTAATTTTAAAGAATGTTTAAGGTAAAAGTATGTTGCTATCATTCCTTACCTAAACATTGTTGATCGTTTGATATTTATTTTTAAATTGATGTTATATTTTTTTACACCAAAAATTTTACAGACATGAAAGTAATCTCACATGTACCTAATGCAATGAGGTTTAAAAGTAGAATGTTAGTTCATCTTAGTGCAAATACACGTGTCAAATAATGTTTATGAAATGTGTACATATCCATGTTGCTTTCATGTTGTGATTTTTTATAAAATCAAAAGTTTATTTGTTAAGTTTTTATAAAACAGATACATTGTTGCCAAATGATGTGAAGCTAATGATGTAATAAAAATAGTAAAATCTACATCTCTATGTGTTTTCTTCCTAGTTTTTAATTTTTGGATAGTTCGCGATTCAATTTTATAGCTGACCAACAATAATAAAATCACGTTGGGTTCTCAGGACTGTCATTTTGATAGAGGGTGGGCCATTCTTATTCCGCTATCGATATTGACAGCCCGTTGGAATTTGACACAAGAATTTTTAAATAGGTTGACAGCATCAGCCCATTTCAAAGGATCACGCAGTATAATAGGGGTAACATGTTTAAATTGATTTGGATTGAATGACGTCGATGGCTGGTTCAAACTATTAGAGAGATGAGAATTTGAAGGATTGGCAGGAATAGAAGAGGCAGAAAGTTGATCAGATAGAGGAGTTATAGGATTTGGTATATTCATGATTTTGGAATCGTTTGACATTTGGGTTGCCATTTTTATTTTTTCTCGATCTTCTACCAGGTCGAACCTCAGTAAAATAATCTGCAGCCCCGCTGCTATTCTGAAGCGTCCTCGTATTAGAAGTCCGTCCATCGTCGGAAATATCATCTGAAGAAGATTCCATGACTGACTGTATCATTCTTTTCTTGTCTTTCTTCTGATCGTTGATGAATGAAGATTGTTGTTCTCGTAGTGTCTTCACTGTATTGGTTAATTTCATGATTTGTGTCATTAGATCTTCATTTTTCTTATTTAATTCCTCAATTTGAGCGTCGTTGGAAAGGAGCATTTTGACCATTTCGTCCTGTTTGGATCCATCTGGCTGTTGTAGACCACTGGTCTTGCTGTTGTTGGGCGTAGCACTACGACTACGCCCACTGTCGTTCTCATACATGGTGGTGATCCTAGGTTTCTTATCCTTTTCGATTTCTTCTCTCGAAAATTAGACTTTAACTTTGACAGCAGACTGTCAGATTCGCCAATATGAGTTTAATACAACACGAATTCATCAGCGAGTGCTAAAGTAGCATCTTGTAGAAAAACCTACATAATGTCACAAAAAACAATGTCAAAAAAAATCGACATAATGTCACTTTTCAAGATTCGTAATACTCGTGCCACTGTGGCAGCAGAAACTCTCCCAGGCCGCAAAATTTGGCCTTACGGGCATGCCGACTGGGATGCATAAACACAACTTCAAACGTTAATATTTTAATTCAGTCTTAATAGTGGAGCAAAGTATAAAACTTATATGGACACGAATTATATTTAACATATTATATGAGGTAGATAGCAGGTTTCATTTAGCTTGGTTCTTAAGACTAGCGAATACTTTCTCACACCGCAAGTTCTGGCACAGCTCCATGACAAAGTGGTTTATGAAAGAATCCTTTTCAGACTTTTTATTTTCAAATAATATCACCAAATAAATGTTCTGTTCTATGGTAGACAGAACGTACGTACACTGCTCCTGCAAATTAGAGGAACATGAAAATAAAAGCACAACAAGCAGAAGAGATTTTGTAACTTTAGGATCTGACTAAATGTATGGATAGTTCTTAACTGATCATCCAGTATGTCAAAGCGAGACCAAAAAGTCATATGGAAATTCATATAAAATTTTAGTAAATGCAGATTATACAGGATGTTTTCAAAGTTAAGTCATTTATGATATATCAAAAATCACGTATATAAAATTTGCACGATAAAAGAAGTAGTAACAGATTAAAAATTTTAGAAAATAAGAATGTTATTACACAGATTTTTTGTTATTCAAGACCACTGCCGTGTAAAATCTTGGCGTTTTTTTTTGTTTACTACTCTAATCGTTCATCGAAATTTGGCAAACAATTTGTGTTATTGTACGGTTTTCAGTACGAGCCTTTGGTTCAATCAGTTGCATCAGTCTTTTAATAGTACGTATACTACCATTTGAATTTAGTTATTAGACTTCGTGACGCAGGATATTTAAAAGAACAACGAGGAGGTGACGCAGGAAGACCTGCTCAACCTGAAATGTTACAAATTGAGGAAGACATTTTAGAAATGGTCGAACACGAGCCAACAATGAGTACTAGAGCAATAGCAGCTCAAGTTGCAGTTTCTCAGAGTAAAATGTGGAAGACAATACGACAAGAGCAGTATTATCCTTATCGGGAATTGGGAAGGAGGATTGACGCGCAAAATATAACTTCTCATACACAACTGCCAACCTCACCTTCCCGGTGTTGCACCCCGCTATTATTACATAACTGACGAGGAAATGGCGACCGATGACTACCGGTATAAGTAGTAAGGTCTCTCCGGGATGATTGACCACAATCGGGTAACCAATCCCGATGGCGGGAATCATCCTGCGAGAGGATTTTCACAGCGTCTGTTCCAACGTGGGCGGCTGTCATGGGGTCGACCGGGCTTTTGAGCCGTGACGAAGGCAGCAGGTCTATGGACGCTGACCCGAACAACACAGCAGGACCCCAACGAGCCACTTTGCATCTTGTCCAGCCCATCCAAAAAAAAAGGATCTGAGACCGATACTACAAGCCTATAGCTCTGTTTCCTGTTATAAGTAAGGTGATGGAGAGGTGCATAAATCGCGAGCTTCTGGACTATCTCACAGCTTGAAGCGAGGCAGTATGGTTTCCGACACCAGCGATCCACAGGGGACCTCCTAGTTTATGTCACGCAAATGTGGTGTAAACTCATCCAGTCCTGTGGTGAGGCTCATTTCATTGCTCCTGATATCACGACCCCCCCCTTCCCCCTTTCCCATGTATCCCCCTATAGCCCCACGGTACCCAATGGATGCTTAGGCCTTAGGCCTTCGTGGTAGTTGGAGCATTAAAAAAAATTGATAATGGTTTTTTTAATAATGTAAGCTAATTCTCTTATTATCCATATTTTATATAGGTGATTTTTGGTGCATCAACTTCTTTTGACGGGTTCAACAAGCTGTTAAAATAAATGACAACTTTGAAAACACCCTGCATTTAGAATCTAATCAATCTTTTCTATAAGTCTCGAACCTTAACACATGCATTTGAAGTCAAACCTTACCTGCGTACTGAACTTGTATATGATTTTGTCAACGCTCAAATCATGTGTTATATCTGAGATCATCTTAAGTATAATTTCCAACTGGTTGGGACTACGCTAAAAATATAAAAACAGGTCTGGGATTATTTGGTAGAATTATATGATCATTATCAAACATCAATATGCGATCTACTCACAGGTGGGTACGATACTATAATTGGGAAACTATCATAGTCTCTAGTATCATAGCTGACTTGATTGTCTGACAGAATGATGACGTAGGAAGCATCATATTTCCTTTGAAAGGTCACCATCCTGTAAAAGCGTGTAAACAGTAAAAATACTGAGTAACGATGGGAAGTCGCGCGACATTGATACAAATAAACCGACCGAATTTATAAAGTTTGTTAGAAAAGTTTGCAAATGTATGTCAACAATAATATGAAAGTCAAAAAGTCAGTCACTGACAGGCGTGGATCGAGGATCACGTCTAGGGCTTTTTTTAATACTCAGAGACTTGTTTTTAATTTTAAAGTCTTGTTACTATCGGAACTATAGTGAGTATTACTTTTACGATATAGTCCTTTATTATTACAATTTCTAGAATTTTATTATAATCTCAAATAGCTTCATAACGGTTGAAGATCGTTTTTTACCTTTTTCCATTTAAAAACCTAAAGTGTAACGCAATATCTTGTTTTTGGATCACCCTGTATTGTACGGCTTTAGATGAAAAGACGTCGCCCTAGAAATCAAAATTCCCGTGTCCAAGCGTTTTTCCCAAAATATGCCAGGAGAGTCAAAAATAGGGGTGCGATCTTCTCGTTGGGTCACCCTGTATGTATAGCCATTATCAACAAAGATTTTTGAGAAAGCCTTATTTTCAAATTTTCAACAAGAAAGCAGGTTTGTAGAATATTGCCTTGCAGCGTCCGTTTTCAAGTCTTGAATATGTTGCTATTACCTTATATCAAGTTTTTAGTAAAAATATAACTCAATAACAGTGAATATCTTTAAAACTTAAACTCAATCTAAACCATTCTCAAAAACACAGTAGCTTCGCAAAACTGAAGACATATAACTTCTTTAGAATACTCATCTGGTACACCATTTTTATTCGCTATCGCCTCGAGTGGGACAGGTAGAAGATTGATATATAGTACAAGTAAGCTCTATCAAAAAAGGGTTAATCTATCTCTACAGAAATACTTACTTCTGATAATGATCATAATGCAATTTTGAACACAAATGCCTCATATCACTTGGTGTAGTCTGCTGTGCCAGCGTGTCGTGAAAGTACAAACTGAATTTGCTTAATACAGTTCCTTTCAGTTTTTGTAACCATTGAAACAGGGCCGGCAGTGGACTGTTCTTGAAAACCAGACCAAGCTTCCAGCTCTAAAAATATTGTAGCGTGTCATCAGAGTTACAAAATATGGAATAACAACCAGCTATCTTAAACTAAGGATGCCTTAACAATGGTTTATTGATTATAGGTGAAAGTGACCATTTCTTTCTATAGCAGGGTGGTTCCAACCCAGGCACTACAAAATACGCGGCTGAAATTCAGATCGATCACGCTTTGATCGAAACAATAAAGAGTAAGAGTAAGAGTCTTACCCACCTCCTGCAAAAACTTCGCCAAAGTAAGGAGTAACGCGGAAAAAAATGATCCTATATAGAAAATAAACCCGTCAATTGATTAGAAAGAGCATATTTTACTTACGCTAAGTACAAATCCGTGCTATATCGTATATATATGTTACGGGTAAAGTGAGAATAATAATTAAACTTAGGTTTACCCCGGTAAACTGCACAATACCCAGAAAAAGTGGTTAGTGTCCAAAATAGTATTGAAATTTTCCATATTTCGAACTTTACCCGGGTAAAACGCGTTTTATCCGCTGGCGGGTGGTTAAAGTTAGATGTAGAAATTATTATTTCTATTATCTTTCACCACGTGCAGCTCTAAAATGCCAACCGGAGAAAGCGGACGCGCGCATTTAGGACAGCGTTTTTATGATTGACATGCAATCACATCCAGATGGGAATATAAATTTATCATGGTGTATCAGCACCATTTAACTAAGTTTGTTCAAAAACGTGCATTAACATCGAAAAGGGCTGAGGAAGTAGTTAAGAGCCTGATAGACATATTTTGTATTTTCGGCGCCCCATCCATACTACAATCGGACAACGGCCGTGAGTTCGTCAACCGTGTCATTGAAGAGTTATGTACAATGTGGAGTGGCCTTAAAATAGTCCATGGCAAACCACGTCGTAGTCAGTCACAAGGCAGCGTGGAAAGAGCAAATCAAGATATACAAAATATGCTTATGACGTGGATGGATGAAGAAAACTGCAGGCGATGGCCAGAAGGTATAAGATACGTAGATTTAATGAAAAATATGGCATACCATGACGGGATAAGACAAGCTTCTTATGCTGCCATGTTTGGGCATGATATTAAAGTCGGCCTTTCCACATCAGCGTTTCCAAAAGAAACTATTGAAAATTTACGAACCGAAGAAGAACTCGAGAAAGTTGTGGAGGAATTTGGTGTAGGTGAAGAGCTTTAAGAAGAACAAAATGAAGACCAATCTATGGACAGTAACCCAGAAACAGATAACATGCAAGAAAATATTACTGAAGATGGAAATATGCAAATAACAATAATTATGGAGAAAACGCTGGTAATATGGAAACTTCAGATAATCAGGGGAAATGTTCAGAGTGTGACAAACCAAGTACATCGGGGAATATATCTTGTGAACTTTGTTTGTGCCAAAAAAACATACGGTCAAACAGACTAGAGGCAAAACGAAATTTAAAAAATCAAGCAAAGAAAATGAAAGCTTTGTCTAATTCAAAGTTTCCGCCATGTTCTGTTGGAGATACAGCGAGAGTGAAAATTCCAGACGTTGATAGAGGGAGGGGTGATTTTAGAAATATTCTCATGAATCGAAAAAACTGACGACGATTTTTATAAGCTATCAATCAAGAGAGGAACTATCGAAGAGATGTTTTCCAGGAACTACTTTTCTGTGTGTAATAAGAAACTTGTAGATATGGAAAGTGTATCACTGGAGAAGAAAAGTTTACGACAACTTGCAAACGAACAATCTCTTTTAGGAGGTCAAGGTTACAAACGATGCAACTGTAAAACTAAATGCATGACCAATAAGTCTATTGGACATCTTTGTAACTCCAAATGTCATAACAGCTTATCTTGTTTAAACAAATAGATTATAGTATCTTGTACTTTGTTAGGATACAGTTTCAGTGTAACCTTTGATTTTTAAAATCTGTTCTTTCAATAAAATATGATTTTAAAATATTTATGGCGTTATTTTTTAACATTAGCCACACGAAAGTGGATAGAACGCGGTTTACGCGGATAAAGTCCAAAACATTTGCAATTTCAGTAATATTTTGGACTTTACCATGTTGTCTAGGTATTGTGCAGTTTACCCGGGTAAACCTAAGTTTAATCATTATTCTAACTTTACCGGTAATATATACACCCCAAATTCAGCTCCTTTTAAAACTCAATATCTTAGAAGCTATGTAATCATCTATAGTTTTTCAAAACCAACAACTTGTGCATTTCTCGCATGAAAATGACCTAATCAATCACACCATATCAGCCGTTCCTCCAAACCAACTCAGGAACCCCCCTGTTGTTTATATACTGAATTTCAAAAATAGCCAATTATTCATCAAAATTGCTGAAGGACCACAAGTTTTTTGTAGTGTTTGCATCAACATGACCTATTCTATCACACCCTACCAGCCGTTTTCCCAAACCAAGTCCAGAACCCTCGTATTTGACCCCTCTTTGTTTATATATAGCAAATTTGAAAAATCCATTATTCTTCAAAATAGCTGAAGACCAAAAAGTTTTTTGCATTTCTGACATCAAGGTAACCTATTCAATCACACCGTGCCAGCCATTTTCCCAAAGCATGTTCGGAACCCTCCTTTTTGACCCACCTTTATTTATACAGGGTGACGGGAAAATAGATGCGTAGCCGGTGGGAGGAGATACTAGAAGCCAATCGGAGTAGATTTCACTATAGGAACTACTGTCCGAAAATTAGCCGTTTTCGAATTATACTGATTTTTTACGATTTCATAAAATTAACGTGCTTTATACGTTAACCAAGTCATAAAACTTGAAAATTGGGTGTTTCATTTGATTTTTTTTTGGTTTTATAATAAAAATATTCTAAAATACGGAAATTGATACTCAAATGAACATTATTGACGTTAACCCATGCAGTAAGTAAAATAGTTCGATTTTTTTTTAAAATCTTCGTTCATCTCAAAAGCTTCATTTTACTAGAAAAAGTCGCATACAAATTTTCGTACCAAATAATAGAAAACATCTACGTTTCATTACCTTTCAAAGGAGGTATAAAAATCACAAATCGATTAAGAATTGGCAAACATATGACTATTATAAGAGGAGGAAGGAAAAATCAATAAAAATACTACACTTACAAAATCATACCTTAATACAGGGTAATTTGTTTGAAACTACATTTTTTTATTTTTATAATACATTTCCAGAATGGCGCCCTCTATTTCTAATGCACACACGTCCTCTTCTTATGACAGCTGATTTTACTACCGCCGAATTCTTAAGAGAGGTTTGAATTTCTTGTGCTGCATGTATTATCCTGTTTCTGAGGTCTTCTATTGAAGGTACAGGATTTTGATCAGAGTATACTAAAGTTTTCATGCGACCCCACACAAAAAAGTCAATAGGTGTGAGATCGGGACTGCGTGCCATGGGATTGGTCCGCCTCTACCGATCAATCGATTCGGAAACTGCTCAGTTAACCAATTTGTAACTTAGTCTGAAATGTGCTGGGCACCCGTCATGCTGAAAAATCATTCTGTGACTTCTGTGTAGCGGCACGTCTTCAAGTAATTCAAATAGAACATTTCTTAAGAAATGTTCGTAGGCTTCTCCATTTACGATGTCGGGTACGAAATGTGGTCCTACCAAACAGTTATTTAATATACCCATCCAGACATTCAGACAAAATCGCCTTTGAGATCCTTTTGGTCTCTTCATATGAGGACTTCCCATTGCTCGTTCACACCAATAGTGAGCGTTATGGTAGTCTTTATCAAATTTTGATTCTAAGGTCCATAGAATTTTTCTTAAATAATTGCTATCTTCAACATCATCGTTTAAAATAAAACGACACAATTGCATGCGCCTCATGGGATCTCCTTCTTCTATGACATGCACAGGTGTGTAGTGGTAAGGGTGGAATATGTTTTTATACAAAACAAACCACACTTGCCATTAGAGTACAGAGAGTATGGTCTCTTTGGAAAATATTTAATATTTCTTCTTATTTTTCCACATCATGTCGAGGTCCACCCGCATCACCTGAAATAAAATGAAAAAGCAAATAACAGTTTTTTTAAGGAAATCGTCACCTAATAAACATAGCGGTAAGACTATGAGCTTGCACGATGCACAACGTGTGGATGTTTCCATCTTCAGAGTCGTGTAGATGCTCGTGTTAAAATTAAATGAATAAACTCTTAATTAAGAAGTTCAATCATCTGTATCAAAACAACTGTGTTACAGTATCATCAGCTCAGCTCATAGATCTCCAAGGCTCTACATAGGCCTTACTGAATGACTGATTATGATAAGTTGATAATCATCAATGATGCAAACTTACCTTGACATCTTACGACGGTACCGCGCAGTCGAACCTGACGGGGCGTTTGCCTAAATACGCGCGCGTGAGGTAGGCGACGAAACATTTCCTCATACTCACGACGAGCTTCTTCAGCATTGCCTCTGGCATCTCCATAGTAGAAAAGGGTATCGGCACTTATTCTTCGAAACTGAACGGCCGCCTCCTTTAGTCATCAGCCATTGTTCATCGATAGGTAGATCAACGAACAATCAAGTCACACAGCAGCCAAGTCATAAGGAATCAGAGAAAACAGGGTACAGTCTAGGTCGTCAGGAAAAGAATCACACACGGAAGTCCACCAAGAGACAAGTCGTTAGAAATATCAAACAGTGAGCAAACAAACACATCCGAACGCAACAAATCGCACGAGCAGATTGAAGCGAGGGAGGGAGGGGGGGGTGACTAGTCTTACTTATCACACTATTCCGGTGAAAAAGTCCGATGTTCGCGGCTCTACGTGTTTCTTTCAGTCATATCTTTGTCATTTCTAAACCGGTTTGTGAATTTGATATCTCATTTGAAAGGTAATGAGACGTGGATAATTTAAAATTGTTTTACACGAAAAATTTGTAGGTGATTGTTTCTAGTAAATTTAGAGATGAGCGAAGATTTTTTTTTAACAAAAATTGAACTATTTTGAAGCTTACTGCATGAGATAACGTCAATAATGTACATTTGAGTATCAATTTTCGTATTTTAGAATATTTTTATTGTAAAACCTAAAAAATCAAATGAAACACCCAATTTTCAAGTTTTATGACTTGGTTAACGTATAAAGGACGTTAATTTTATAAAATCTTAAAAATTTGTATAATTCGAAAACGGCAAATTTTCGAACAATAGTTCCTATAGTAAAATCGACTCAGATTGGCTTGTTCTGTCTCCCCCCACCAGCTCCGCATCTATTTTCCCGTCACCCTGTATACATCAAATTTGAAAAAATCTATTATTTGTCAAAATGGCCGACAACCAAAAAGCTTTTTACATTTCTGACATCAGTATAACCTACTCTATGACCCCCTATAAGCCGTTTACCTAAAGCAAGTCCGGAACCAACCCACCTTTGTCTATACTTAGCAAATTCCTAAAAATGACCGAAAAACAAAAATCACAAAGTTTCTTTGTTTTGGGGCATCTAGAGCCATGTCCTAGCGTTCCCATGTGCAAGGCAAGGGTGTTAAATATGAGTGATTTAATCTCATGTCATTAAACTTGTCGAGCACAAAATCTTACCTCTCGGCTCTGCATCTTGCCCTCCCAAGCTGCCAGTCTAGTGTGAGCACCATGAATAAGGGCCAATGACGGAAGGAACTGCAGTCTTTGTAGATCAATCAATGTTGTAAAAAGCTCCTGTAGAATCTCACATTCTAAGCTAAATACGGCTCTAGCAGGTGTGAGACTTATGTCAGTAAAATCATCCTTATGTTTATCTATAACTGTATCTATGCTATTATGTATGTCATCAAAATGCAGTTGTTTGTTAATACTCAAGTTGTAGATTTTTTCATATCTAATCTGCATTAAGGAATATAAAATACAACAAGCAGCTAAGATTTTTATGATCAATTTGTTACAAATAAAAGCTCCATAATCCATATAGACCAACATCTCCAGAATTCTGTGTCTCCTATTGTCAAAGTATAAGTCAAAACTTAACCTGATCTGTATTTGCTAATGATCAGATCCAAGGGTGGTGTGCCTATGACTGTATATTAGATACAATTAGAATAATGTCCGTTACATTTTGAGGCTGATGGGTAGAGGCAATCTGACTGCCTACAGCCATCAGCTATTCATAAACAATGTGTTTGTCTTCTCATTAGAGCTCACCAGGAATCTATGGGATTGTTGCCAACTAACTAATAGAAAATATATGACAAACAATTTTTGTTGTATGTTGCTACTAGCTGTCACATGTGGAGCCACCACATACTTTGATAATTTAGTCTCACTCAGGATGCTGATGACATCCTAGCGAGGGGGACTCTAAAGGCAGATTAGCTTCACTTCACACAACACAAAAACTTTTCCACAGAATCATGGGTTTACTCTTGCTCAGAACACCATTTGAATCATTAAAAAATATCCAATATAACTTGCACAAAATAGCAGCAAAGGATACAAGTCTATCAAATCTACCCTGGCAGTAATGTACTGAATAATGTTTTTACACCACTTGTGAATTCTTCTGTCAAAGGCCGATCCTCTACAATTATCTTCTACCTTCTTAAAATCGTTTTTCAGGGCCTCGTAAATTGTACGTAATGAATTCTTAAAAAATGAGAGATGATAGTATTTACAAACAGTGGTCATATGTAGCGACATACATCCTTTCTAAGGAAGCTCTTATGTTTGTTCTGTAGAAATCCTATGTCCATATAGTTCTTTTCAGCTAAAGCTAACTGTTGGAGAAAATTGAGAAATGCCATCCACAGAATTGGTGAGGTTTTTGGTTCCTTTTCTTTCTCCTGAAATAAAGACATCGAAGAAAGCGGAACAAATAAATACAAGGAACGTACCACATGCTCCTTGGCCTTTTCGTAACATAACTGCGAAACGTGGGTCCAATAAATGTGCAAAAACTCATCGTCTTTTTCCATATTTGAAGGGTGGATTAAGATAATAGTTACCTTTTCCTTTTGTATTTGTTTACTAAGATATAACCTAACTATATGACTGACGTTACTGACAGTTGACGCTTCATGCTTCGCTCAGCGGATCCGTGTTGAATTCGGATACTCGATGTGTACGCGATGTATTATCGAGATCCAGTATACACTGGACAATAGTTTTGTACGTACGTATATACTGTGTGCTAATAATAATTTAGGACTGATATTTTTTTTTCACACCAGGTACTATTTTAAGATGACGCAATATGCCTTTAGAGGGGCCAATACACGCATAATCTTGCCAGTTCTTAAATATATCCCGAAGAAGTTTAGATAATTCGATCTATCTACTGCCTAAGGTTGGTAGAACTGGGAAAAGCTTCCTCTTGTAGATTGTTAAACAATCTCAACACCCTCAAAACAATGGGGCGGTCGTATAGCCTAGTTCTGGGTGTATGAAATTCTACCCGGTTAGGATGGGAGGCCGAAGTCAGGCGGGTCTTTCTGGCAGGCTCATCGCGCGGCAGTAACACGGAGGAGAGCTCTGAGGTGAAAAGCTCGTTGACATAGTGATAGAAGAGATCGAGATCGCCGACTGCTCGGTATAGTGTCCCGAGACCGTCGATTAGCACCTATTAATATTAATTTACTATCGTATAGTACATTTCCCTACGGACTCATAGCTTGGATTTGACCACGGAAATGGGAAAAGAGCATTATCGGTCGGTGATTCAATTCACGTTTTTGGAAGGGAAATCGCGCAGCGAAATCAAAGAGCGCTTGGATCCCTTGCAACTCTTCTCCTTCGATGGCGTCCGAGTTTCAACGTGGTTGCAAGTCGGCTTTTGATGAGCCACGCCCAGGTGCCCCAAAAACGGCTACCGTGGAGTATAACGCGATAAAAGTTCACGATCTCGAATTGCCAGACCGCCGATTGAAGGTGCGCGAGATAGCTGAGGCATTAGGCATCTCAAAAGACGTCGTGGGTGGGAAAGGCCATGGCCACTGTTTTCTGGGATTCACAAGGTGTCATCTACATCGACTACCTGGAGAACGGCAAATCTACCTCATCCACCGTAATCTCCTGATTTGGCCCCGTGCGATTTCTTTTTCTTTCAAACCTTGAAAGTCACTCGCCGGGAAGAAATTTGAGTCGAATGAAGAGGTTATCGCCGCCACGGAGGCCCGCATTGCAGACCTCCAGAAAACGTATTTTTCACTGATATCTCTGAGGGGGCACCGCGATGTTTTTTAGTACAACAGATTGCCTGCGTTTTCGAAGTATTAATTTTGATCAACCACCGATCCGCCCACTCCAGTACTTCCTCCACCGCATTCTGCAGCCTGTCGTGAACCGGGTTACCAGAACAAGACTGGGCTAGCAGTACAGTGTCGTCGCCATAGAGATATACTTCACAGCTGCTGGGGCAAGGGACGTCATGTATATAAAGTGAATAAGGGATTGGTCCTAAGACCGAACCCTGAGGAACACTGACTCTTACGGGCCGTGTTGTTGACAACACGTTGTTCATTTTGATCCGAAACTTCCTCCCTTCTAGAAAAGATTTCAACAGTTTTAGTAGCCAAAATGGAAAACCCTTTTGGATGAGCTTATGCAAGAGGCCCATGTGCCACACCTTGTCAAATGCCTTTGATACATCTAAAAGCAAGATACCAGTACATTTGTTCAGGGTGAACCCCCTGGTTACATGCTCCATCAGTCTAACTGCCTGAAGCTCCGTACTATGCTCAGACCGAAAGCCGAATTGCACGTCAGGAATCAGATGGTGATCTGACTTTGAAATTCTCAAGGCCTTTTCAGCGAGCTTAGAGGGAGCTGACAGCAGGCTAATGGGACGGTAATCCTGGGGGAATATCGAACCTGCCTTCTTTGGACTCATGATGAGTTCAGCGATCTTCCACGCCTTAGGAAAGTAATGAGTTCTGAGCATTGCATTGATTATTGCCAGCAGATAAGTCAAAGCCTTAATCGAAAGCAACTTCAGTACTTTGTTGGTGATTTGATCCTCTCCAGGTGCTTTATGCACCTTTATGTTCTTAATGAGGCCTTGGAGCTCTGCCGGTGGTGCAAAACGGAAACTCAGACGATTCCGTTGATGTGCCATGCTGAGATTCATCTGAAGCGTCTTCCATAGAATCTTCTGAAAAGGAGTCACCGATGTTAGCACTGATGTTGATATCGCCATTCGCTCTGAAATATCTCCTGACAGATCTTACAATTTGTCGTTCCTCATCAAAGTCAAGGCCTTTCTATGACGTCAGCAAAAACCTCCACTTTATCCTCAGTCCTGAAAACTATGCCACCAGGACTATGAATATGTGGTAGTTGTTCTTGCCTTCCGTTTCTGAGCGATTTTGCCACTTTCCAAAGAGGAATACTTGATTTAAGCATCCCCGCCAGAAAGTTGCTCCACCGCTCATTGCGAAATTCATGGAGTGCATTTCTCACTTCATGGACGGGATTCGTCGCTCTACGAATGTCATTAGGATGAGTCATACCGACCTTTGATAGATGTTATATCGACCCCAGATAGACGTCATACATATAGAAGATTGTCAAAATCTAGCAATTTTTAAGCCGAATGCCTCACAGTTTATAGGACATTTAAATAGACCTCTAAAAAGAAGTATATTGATATGGCATTCTTTGACATTTTGAAGATTTATTGTTGAATTTCAAGCGATTCTATGTACAAAAATGCTCAAATATGATTGCCAGTAGGCCAGTTTGAAACATAGTGATTTCATGTTCTAATGTTATAAGACACTCATGAAGGACTTCAAAATAAGGCATCACATAACCCCTCTTTCCTTTTGAAATACCTGTAATGTTGAAAGATGGCACTAATCCGTTCAAAAAATGAGTAGGGGCTCTTTTCTGAAAGTCACTGAGATCTTTACTTGTAAATCTTAAAAATAGTTGAAAAATACACCTTTGTTCATAGATAGTTTATTATTAACATACATAATTCTACCATTTATACAAAAAGAAGGACACTACAAAATATAAATAATTTAGGTACATAATAAAAACCTTATATCTGCATAAAGTATTCGCATAAACAGGATATATGACACATAATGGATATTGTCAACGTAACATATATCTTCTCGAAATAACTAATCGCAATATTTTACATTTAAAGCAACATCGTTCACTTACACTAATATTAGTTATTGTTAACATCACATATATGAGAATAGATATCTCCTAACATGAATAAAAGACTTATCTTTAGTTTTAGATTCTAACTTTAAGTGTTCGAACATTAAAGAGGTAAAAGATTTTTATCTAGATGCATGAAACAATGTACAGCATTTACTCTATGCCGTAGTCATATATCTTCTATATATAACATATTCTGAAAAATATATATACACAAGGTCAATAATGTATAAACACGAGAGTTACATCTGAGTCGAAGATGTGGTAGTGCATTTGAATATATATCTTGCTGTCATTGTAGGTAAATTTCCAAGGTATGGAAAGTTGGAAACCATGTACTGGAGGGATGGTTAGGGTAGAGTGGGGTTAACTGGACCCATCAAAATTTAAACTCTGTTTTTGACCAGTAAATCGTTGCTAAAAACATACCTTTGTGACCATGCTTTGGTAGTTATGTAAGTAATTGGAAAACGTAATGTTTAAAGTTAAATTTAAATTTATGTGTATGACAGATTGACTTTTTTTAAAACCTATCAAATTGTCCAGTTAACCTGCCTGTCAGGTTAACTGGACCACTTATGCAGGTTGACTGAACAGAGGTACAAACAAGATATGTTTTTTAAATTTACTTTTACTTAACACTTTCTACATGGAAATTTTGTCAGCTTCTTATGATTTAGTGCCCTGGAATCTTCATGCGCTGCCATTTTTGTTATTTAATTGACAGAAATATACAATAAATTTGTCATAAATTGTTAAACAGCAAAAATGGCCATGCATGGAAAATTCAGGGCACTAAACCATAAGAAGGCTGGCAAGCTTTCCATCATTTACTATTACCAACCTAATACCCTAAATACAAGTCTAGCCCTCTAGCGAATAAGGCGACTAGCTATAATAAAAATGTTAAAAATATATCATAGAAAATATGTCAACACTTTTTAACAATCATTTTTATTTATAATAAGAAACATACTGAAGATACATTAAAATATTATAGATACTTTTAATAAACTGTAAAGTCAAACATACTGAACATGTATGAAAATATTGTAGGTAATTTTAATAAACTGTAAAGTCAAATTCATTTAAATCAACTTGAAATGACACCATGTTGGCATATCTAGCGCTGTTACTTTTGGCTGGCATGGGTAACTTACAAACAATATCAGCTTTTACAACAAAGCCATTTTCATTATTTTTAAAAAAATATTTTGTTTCTTTGTGGCGTTTTAAAAAAGTAACCTCAAAACCATCATTTACAGCATGAATAATTTCACCAACATAATGTCTGAAATTTAATTTATTTTGCCCATACACTTTCACGATTACAAAATCGCCTTTTGTCACAGCTTGTGGACTATCGTCATATGCATCAAATTCTTCTAAAGAATCCGAGCTTTCTTCATAGATAACACTGTCATCATCAGAAGAGCTGTCTTCTAGAATACGTCTTTTTACTGCCTCTTTTTTCTTGTTAGTTCTTTTGGTTTTTTTTTGTGCTTTTTCTTCTCGAAGTCTTGCTTCTTCCTCTATGTTCTCTTTGACTGGAGTGTCTGTCAAAATCAGAGATTTTTTCTTTCGTCGAATTGTAGACTTTCGTTCACCAGCTTTGGGGTGAGGACGGATCTGTTCAGGAGTTATAATTTGTAATGTCGGCTTTTTTATCTCAATTGAAGATAAAGTCGGTTTGGTTTGTGATTTTTCAGTTTGTAGTTTAGCAGTGCTCGACGATTCAGCTTGTGATGGTCCGGCTTGTGATTCTTGATATTTTGAGAGCTGAAATTGTGACAGAACAGGATCTGTCATGCCATGTTGAATTGGTTTAGGCAGTGATGTATTATCTTGTGACGACCCAGCTTGTGGTGCCTCTTCCTC